AGCACTCGAACGACAAAGGCCAAATTTCACTTCGATGCCCAACGCACGACTACAACCATGGAAAACATTTAACTAAACATTGCAAAGTCGCAAGATGGCCTTGTAATATTGCCGATTAGTTTATTTCGAACACACATACACACTGCACGTGAGCAGATAAAACAATTTACCCAAAAACGAATTTGTCAAGCGGCAGGAAAGGCCCGTCAATCTCATCATTTTCATTTTATCTCAGTCGTATTTAACAGAGGCTTTGGTTGGGCGGGGGGGGGGAAGGAAAGACGACAGTTCACCGTGGCGACCGTTTTCTCTTTTTTTTGCCACTTGACTCGCCCGCCAGTCTGCCCGACCGCCCGCCTGCCAACCGCGCAGGCCCTGACAGTTGACAAATTGTCCCGTTGGCTGCTTATCTCCATACACGCATATACAGCTCGTGTGCCTCGATCGGCGCGCAAAAAAAAACCGCGCCTCGATAGCGCTTTATCTTCCGCTTCGCCGCCGCCCCTACACGCCCGCCAGGGCCACCCGCTCGCGCAACGCAAATTGCATTCAGAGCGCAGATGCAGCACGGGGGCAGCCGCGTGACGGAACGCGTTGCGCTGAGGCGGGGAGGCGATAAGACACAAGGAGTGCCAGCCGTGCGCACGCCAACGGCCCTTTAGTCGATCCGCTGCTGGATGAAAGCCTCCCTGCAGTCGTGCAGGTAAATATACGACCATACAGGTGGGTGCGGGTTGGTCAAAGTGGTGGGGGAGCATAGACGTGGGAGCGTAGAAGTGCAGTACGACAACGGATTTTGCTGCACTTCCCACGATGTAGCCCCACAGCAACAACCTGTTGTGCACGACAGGCACCAATCCAAGCACTATCCCAGCTTGAACCTGCTTAGCTTCCAAGATCTGACGAGATGGAGCGCATTACGGTTGATTTGGTTAAAGGCACCTGTCATACTCGACTGTGCATTGCTTTGAATCTTCAAAAGGTGTATGCCTGTCTGCATGCGTGAAGGTTTTTATTTATTTGACTATTTGAACCCAAAGCAGTCGCATGCATTATTAATCACAGCACGCTGTGATCAAGTCTTATTTCCAATTCTTGAAAGACTTCCCCCAACTGGTAGACTCTGAGCCAGCCAGAATGTCTGACAGTGTCCGTAACTGGTGCACTCCTTAATGACATCCGAAATGGCAGCATCAAAAAACTATTCTAATTAAATCCCGACCAAAACCAGGGTCCCATTGGCCTGACCCAGCATCTGTTTTGTGTGAATTAAGATAAAATAGAAAGCTGAACATTTTCTGGGCAAAAAAAATGCACGTGTGTACAAATTTACAATGCATATTATGTGAACCACACCGAATGGGTTAGAGGGGACACAGTAGTGAGCGAACTACGCTTCAAAGAGTTGTATTCCCGGCCATGGCTAACATCAGTGGATAATGATATTCGAGCCGGTCGTGGGCCCACCTGTTCACCAACCCACATCCGGTGTGGTGAAGTATGCTCAAGGAACCCACAGGACCAACGTGGACTTCATCCAGCAGTGGCTTGACAAAGGCCTGTCATCGTGATGTTTGCATGTATGTTGAACCTTTTTTGTACAAGATGTAGCCAACTGTGCTAAACTCTCAATAACTGGCCGATAACACCTTAATAGAGGACCGCAGAGCTTGAGCAATTGTTAGTACCACCTCCTCCTCACCGTGTGGCTGCCTTCCTGCGTGTCTGTAGTTCCTCACACCACTGGGTCACTCTCTCTCTCTCTTTGACAGCGAGTTAATATTGTTTAAATAATATCATATCGTCGTCGTCGTCATCATCCTCAGTCGTGATCAATTCACCGCCGAGTGAAGGCCGTTCCAAGCCGTCGCCATTCCTCTAATTATCTATCACATGACTGTAAATGTGTAGGCTTTATACGCACACGCTTGCTCCGTGTGCACCTTTTCTCTTTACCAAGGTGCACGAACACGAGCTGTACTCTTTGTTGTGCTGTGGGGCAGATAAAGCCGATGGTCGCATTGCAAATCCCTCGATTCGAAATGCAGAGCGGAGCTCCTATTAAAAGCCACGACCCCAAACCTAACCGCCCGCGCGTAATAAGTTGGGTGAGGGGGGGGGGTTGCAAATGCGCGAGCAACTCAATCGCCGTGAGCAGCATTGCCCGCGGCACGCGCAAGGTGGACACACTGTAAATCGAAAGCATTTAAAAGGGGGCTATGAAGAGGGCAGAGAGCCTCAGAGAGACAAGCCGTGAGGGGCGGGGGGGGGGGGGCATGCGGAGCGCACGGCTCAATCACCACATCTCTGCGGGGGGGGGGGGGGTGGGAGGGGGAATTTATCTTATTATTTTATTCTCCATCAAGAGCAGATTGCTACTGAAATATGCATCAGTTCCATTGCCTGCGGTGGAACTTTCCGCGGTGGCGGCGGAGGCAGCGGCGGGGGGAAATTTTCATTTGGGGAGCTCCTGCTCCATATTTTCGCGTACAAAAAAAAGCCCGTGGATGACAAAAATCCACCGCTCGATATTTCCAAAACAATGCGCGGGAAGGGGGGCAGGGGGGGAGACGCCGGCGATTGTTGACACACGGACGGCAAAACATTACAGACGCAACGCTTGGTGGAGATTGAAAATTGGCGCAGACCGCAGGGAGGGTCCTTTTTTTTTTTTCCACACGACACCAACGTTTGCGTTACGCGGATCCCTCTTCTTAAAGCGTGGCAATAGGTTCGGGGCCTGGAGATCCCGTGGTCTGCCATACCCGAGAGGGGCTCTTGGGAGAGAGTTCGTGCAGTACTGATATGCCTCCGTTGAAGGAGCGCGGACTGCGCTCGTTTTCCACACGGTCCGTAACTTTGTTTTGACGGCTACAGCCAAGCACGTGGGTAAAACCGAAGGAAAGCTTGCGGACAGATTCATGGGAACACCTGGGATGTTGTCGCCGCTGCTAATCCTCACTAAATGAATGAGAGTAACGACTACTTCAAGTGCATCCTGCGACATCGCACTTGGGTCCGAGCACTCTTTTTCATGAAAGTCCTGCTATTTTGAGTTTTTTTTTTCTTCTTCTGGCAATTGATGAGCGTTTATACCACGTGGGGAGGAAACTGGAGCACCGGGGGAAAACACATGCGTGCGAGGGGTGGGGTGAGAGGGGGCAACACTCGATCCCCGTACACAGCTGGGTACTCATGGGAGATGAACCTATTTGCTGCATTGCTCTTCTCCTGGGCAGCCAGGGAATGATCACCTCCTCGACCACCACAGGAAGGGAGCTTCGCAACAATCTGTGTGATCCTCCAACCCTCGCCCCACACAACATCACTTCCCTGAACAAATACGTCATTGAGCGTGTTATATCGGTGTGAGATGCAGCCTCTTTGACATGGCCACATGTTTATTTCCCCACCCCCTCGTGCGTTGATTTTTTAAGACGAGAACCAATATCAGACCGTTTTGAGCTGGCGAAGTTGTTCGGACAGGATATAAAACGAACACACCCCCTCGTACAGCCTTGCAGACTATCAGAGCACGTGACGTTGGTGAGCACCTATTATGGGCTGCGTGGCATTTGACAGGGGATCTAGGGGAGGGGCAAGGCTAGAATTAAGCATCGCCACCACCTTCGTCTCCTCGGTGCTCATTGTTGACCACCAGAAACCAGTGCCATACAGCCAACTGTGCTAACTTTCGATTAGCGTGGTTGGCTACATACGGTGCGAAAGACGTTCAACATACATACACTGCAGAGCCCAGGCCGCATTCCGATATCAATTTCCACGGGGAATACATGGCCAGGATTTCAACTTGGGTGTCCTAGACTCACCAACAACGCCATGTACACAAAGCAGACACGATTTGGATGCGTGGCGCGTCGTCATCGCATCTCAGCAGCTGAGTTGGGATGCGGCGAAGGTGTGGGGGATGGTGGGGCTCAGCAGCAGCGAAAGCAGGAGGTGGGGGCGGAAGTGCAGATGGAGGTCGCGAGGTCCTTCAGGGGTTGAGCGACGTGAGAAGAGACTGAGTGCTCAGAATCACGGGGAACTCTAAGGAACTCACGTCAGCTTAGATTAGGTGGTACACCGCCGCTCGTCACTATACACACACACACGCAGACCGTACTTTAAAATAAAATGTATAATTTTGTTTTTTACATTTATACGGATGAGATGTTTAACTCGTAGGCTTTCGCGACCAATATTATTCATAATAAAGGTTTTTTCGTTAGATCACGTAAGTATTGTGCTGTAACCCTCCACCACCCGACACAGCCAGTAAGGTTTGTCACGTAAACAATGCGCCAGTTAGTTACAACTTCAGCCCACCGGTGTGTTGGAGAGTAAATCCACAACATTTACAATTTGAGTAGTACGACGTTTCGCTGGTAATTACATCCAGCATCATCGGGCGATTTGCCAAAACAGAGATAATGGATTTTACAAAAAAAAAGAGGATTATACCGGGGATGTAATTTGTGGACGTGATAACATGGCTAAAATTGTGAAATGTCAAGTTTCATTAAGCCCGGTTATCTTGTTTAAGTGTCGCGCTTTGGATAATCACCTGTTGGGCCATCTCACCCGGGCAACAACTGATGGTAATGGGCAAGAGAAGCTTACATACGGGATGGAGCGAACATTCGTGGTGGACCCAACGAGGTGGACGATCGTACTGAAGCAATCGAGAGCGACGGAGCTAACGGGCGCATCGAAGCTGACGCGGAAGTGACGGAGATAACCAGAGCGCGTAGAGCGATGGAGACAAAACGGTCGACGGCACTAGCGACAGCGACGGACCTAACCGGAGCGAAGCACCCGATAAGGGGCGACAAAAACCAAAATGAACACGACGGAGCAAAAACGACAACAACGGAAGGAAGGGAGAGTGGCGACATGACGAGAGCGATGCAGCCAATCAGCGCGATGCAGATTACTGAGCACGTTGCCGAGCGGGAGCGCGCGCCCGGCCCGGCTCGGCCACGTGGGCCTCCGCTCACCTTCTGGACGCCGTCGTCAAACTCCTCGGGGCCCACGTCGGGGTTCCTTTGCAGGTCGAGGTTCCAGCGGTCGAGCTGCACGATGAGGCCGTCCTCCACGTGCGACAGGATCTTGGAGACCGGCTCGTCCGTGTAGCCCTGTCCGGCAAACCGTCAACGTTCCCCGTGGCGGAGGGACAGACAGTGTTAGGAGGTTCGCGCGCCCACGGCAGCCGCGGGGATCCGCCAAATGGCAGAGAGCACGGGCGAGGTGCGGTGGCACGCGTGCGCTCCAGTTTCCCTCCCCCCATGCATAAACAGCCCGACGTTGGGCTGAACACACCTCAACATGACAAGCCAATGCAGGACCCTGCCGGAAAAAGAATCCTGGATATATAATAATAATTACTGTTGTAATAATCATTACTATCAATGGCTTTGGCCATGATGACATCTTGATCTTGCATATTTAACCGAGGTGACACTCCACAAAAAGTCTAGGACTATTATCTTAATTGCAACTAGTCAAATTCCCTTAATTACTTCGCACAACTCTGACACAATGAAGAAGTTATGCAGCTTGTCAGGCGATGCACCCAAATTAAGTCTCTGCTTCGAGCCCCCCCCACCACCCACCCCCCCCCCCCCGTGGTGGTGAGTGCCACCCCTGGCCCTGAACACGCGTGGGCCACGCGTGGCGACACTCACCCCGCCCCAGTTGAGCGTGCGCGCGAGGTCGTTGCCCGTGCCCAGAGGCAGCACCGCCACGGGCGGCTGGGGGTTCATCTGCAGCTGGTCCAGCACCGACAGGATCCAGCCCACCTGGTGGAGGAGGAGCAGCAGCAGCAGCAGGAGGAGGAGACACGTACGAGATTGAGAGGAGTTGCAAGGAATTACTGGTGGTGTCACGGCTGAGGTCAATGGTGAAAACAGTAGAAAAGCAACCTTTTATATTAGCTTTGAAAAATGTTTGTCATTCTCTCGTTCTTCTTGTTTAGCCCTCTGCTCAATGGCTGTGTCTCTGGCTCCCAGCATCCTGCCTGATCTTGAGCTTCCTTCTCCTCGTCCCTGAGTCGTCAGGGACCATCGTTCTTTTTTTCTACTCCTTGGCCTCTTTTTCCAATGCCGTTTCTTTATCCGTTCCCTCTCTAAAAAATAAATTTGAAGCAATCACCCTTCAATGGCTCTCTTTCCCCCCTCCGCCCTCCCACGACTCATGTCTTGAGATGGAGTCATATTTAGACTCTTAATAAGCACAAATAGTATTTTGTTACAAGATAAACTCTGCTCTGTTTTTAAAGGGAATTACTAAAAAGAAAAGTGGCATAGCTGAAGCCACTCCGCATGGTGGCATGGTAATGACGATGAGCTCAGCCCATCATACCTCCCAAGTGCGTAAAACGAGCAACACTTCTGGTGAGGGCTGTGGTGGGAAGCCAGGAGTAGATTTAATTGAGAGATGGAATTCACGACTGGGTCAAAACAGGATATATACAACAACTTCAGTTGAATAATGTTCAGCATTTTGCCAGTTCACTGCTCGACAAATGTCTCGGTCTCTATGCAGTGTTGGTCAAGGGAGTTTGGCTTTAGCACACTTCACCGCGACGATCGTTACGGGTTGATCGGTACAGCGGTGTTTGACGACCCACGACCGATTCAGATATTACTCGCTGTTGATGTTAGCCATGGCCGGGAGTCAAACTCAGGTCACCGGGGGTTCAGATTGCAATGCGCAAAACCCCTGCACCACCGCTCCTCGGTATATTTGTCTTCAGGATATTCACGTCAACATTTGAACCAAGAAAGACCAATCAAGCAAATTGTGCATTTTACTCAATGAGCCTTTGTTTAGTTGTATTAGTAATAAATATGCTTATGTATGTACCAGCAAGGAAAAGCATTTTGCCGTGGGACAAACATGTCATTGAAAATATGCGGGAGAAGCATCGAGAAACGCGTCAAATCTGCGCCCAAGCAAGCATCGAGCGCCGTGAATGAAGCGAGACCCAAAAGCCGGGTCGAGCTGCAGCGCCACCGGTCGGCCCACCCAGCGCGGAAAACCACGCTCGCCCCGCAAACAACCCCTCGGGAAGCTTGAGACCGAATGAGGAGGAAGACACAATAGAGAGAGAACGTCCGCCGGAAGGGCATGCAGTCTCACCCACCGTGCCATCCCCGCCACAAGCCAATATCCGCAGATTCGGAACCTTCTTGTACATTTCAAGCCTGGAAGGCAGCGAGACACGAGAGGCACAAACGACAGTCATCGGCGGCAGAGAACAGCTCGCGAGGGGGTGGGGTGTGAATAATGGAGACGTGAAAGGCGCTCAATTGTAATCGTGGTTTATTATTGGACGTCTGCGCTATTAATATCACTCGCTTCAGACGTAAAGTTTTCTGGGTCTTAAAGGTTTAATCTCAAACGTCGTCGTGAGCGACGAACGCCGACACAATGACGATTAACCTTTTACTGTTTTTACAGCTCTTAATTATCAAGTCAGCTTCACGTTTAACGGTAACAATTAAAACGTGAATTAATCAGAAGTAGAAAGCCACTTTGCGAATCGTACGTCTGTGAAATTAATGACAACACAACGGATGTCTGACATCGACGCCAGAATCACAGAGCAAGCCATTAGGCCAAAAAATGCTGACTCATTCCAAAAGTGTCACATTTAATTAGGGCGGCATAATTCTTGTGGCTCTCAAATGATCTGCCGCTGTGTGTTTAACATCCTGCTGGGCAATTTTGACGGATTTACGCAACCGCTGTTGCCTTTTAAAAAAACAGGACCGAGCACTAATGGGCACGTGAGGCAACTCACGAGTCTGCATGAATTTAACGCAACGCTTTCCCTTCGACCCACGCGCCGGCCCGTCTCTGCTTTTTTTTTTCAGAAAATTGAGCAAACAGAGAGCCGCGTGTTACCAAGCAATACAAAAAACCACAACAGTTTTGAGAATGAAGAGACGAACTAATCGCGCTTCTCCGACGCGCATTCGGGTCGCACCGGCTGTTGTTCGGCACGACGTTTCGCTGCAAATGCTGGGAGCTGCTTCAGGAAATAAATTCCGGACATTGAAGAAACTCCCAAGTACCGCAAGTTGAAGCACCGGATAACGTGGCAGAACAGCACGCCGTAGAACCGAAACACGCATCGGAGAGCCGCACGCCATAGCTGCGAAAACCTACGCAGTGGTGTTAAGAGTGGCGTTGATTCGCATAGTAAATGGTCCTCAGTTGCTGGTCGCGGCTGCTGGTGATTCTGGTGCCGCTGTTTCTGGCGCCACTGCTCCTGGTGGTCGTAGTGGTGGTAATGATTGCGGTAGAGGTTACCGATGGCGTTGGTGGTGATAACCGAGAGAGGCAGTCCCACGCGGCCAGTGTGCACAACATTCCCCCCCCCCCTGCCTCAAAACCTGCAGTCCTCTACATATGAAGGTGTTATTGGCAAATAAAAGAGCGTTTACATGAGGAGCTGGTGGTCATGGTGGTGGCTGTGGTGCTGGTGCTGGTGGTGGTAACGGTGGCTGTATGTAAAGTGTGTAGAACTTATTTCATATCGTACATTGGCAACCGTGCTAATCGGTGGTAGTGGTGGTGCAGATGGTGAAGATGGTGGTGCTGGTAGAAGTAGCTGTGGCTGGGGTGACTAGAGGTGGTGGTGGTGGCGCAGGTCGTGACGGTGGCTATGGCGGTAGTGTGGTGGTGATGGTAATGAGGGTGGTGGCGGTGGCTGTGGTGGCAGTGGGGATGGCGATGGGACTCGCTAGGTATAAGCTTCGTGATTCTCACTTTACACACGGCAACTGCAAGGATGCGCCCCGCAGATAATTATGAGCACGGGAAGACACCGCAAGGAACGCCGAGGGCCATGGAGGTGTGGGCAACAATCGTAGCGTGTTGTTATGCTTCTTCCCGCAGTGAGGTATCAATTTTCAGAAATTACAAATCGATGTGGCAATGAAAAGTTTAAACTCGCTGTCAAAAAGTTTTTTTTTTTTTCGGGCCGGCCGATTCTCTTAGCGCCAAATCAAACTTCAGGCATTTAGCACAGTTGCGATATGATCCAATTATGCGGTCTATATTAAGTGTGGGTTGGAGCACACTAATGTACCAATTTACTTTTTTAATGCATTTTATCTTCCACACCAACCCATTAACCTTTTAATATGTCATTAAAATTGCTAATGGGCCCTGTTTGCAATACGGATAATGGCCAAGCGCATTAAATTGCGGATGGGGGGGGGGGGGGAAACTGATTGAAAACTGAAACGGGAGTTCACTCGTTGCCAGCAGATGTCCCCGTGGCTGCGGCTATTTGCAAGCTGGGCATAGCGCCCAGCAGCAATGCTTATTGAGCAAGCGCACACACTGGTACCAAATTGATTTTCCACACGGCGAATCCCTCTTAATGAAATCACAGCAGCAGGAACGCAACGCCGTCACATGCGGGGCCGAGTTCCGGATCGCCGTTTCACGAGCCCACAAGATCGGCAGGTGAAGGGAGGCAAAGTCCCGTTGCGACGCGCGACGTTCCCCTCAAAGGAAGCGGCCGCGGGCGTTCCGACGGGCGTCGGGATTGGCCGTGTCGTCGCCTTAATTCCTAGGGGGGCGTGACGAGGTTTGCACGATCACTGTCCGTAGCCCCCCACCAACCTCCTCCCCCCCACCCCCGCCGGCTGAGCTAACGCGATTCGCACGTCACAAAAAAAAAAGCCGCCGTGCTTGCCGCGACCCGGCAGGCAGAGCCCGAGGGGAACGTCGTGGTTGACCGTGAGGAGAGACGGCGAGGGAGAGAGAGAGAGAGAAAAGACAAACTAGGGGTGCTGCGAAACTCACGCGTCCCTGGGGCCACCGTTCGACAGGTCGAAGACTTGCCGGGGGTTGAGGTACCACATGAACGTCTGCATGACCTTCGTCCCCTGAGGCACAAACACAGATCGCGGCGGCGGCGGTGAGCGTCCGCGCGTCAGGACGCCCGTCGCCCTTCGTGGCAGTCGAGTGGAAGCGGTCTCCTGCTCAACCTGAGCACTGCTCAACCTGAGCACGTGGCGGTGCCCCGCCAACCCGCGTATCACGGCCTTGAACCTACTCCACATTCCTGCGGCCGGAGGCGAGTCTACTCGTGGGACAACTGCTCTTGACTGCGACGCAAAGTGGTAATTATTTTATTCAACCCTGGGAGATTGAAGGGTTCCGGCCTGAACCCCGGCCGGAATTTTAACTTGTAACTTTACGATTGTGAGCCGCGTGCTCTTAAACCCTTAATTTTATATTGGGATCAAGGTAGCCGGCAACCACGCAAACTGAAATCAATCATCGTTAACGTTTTACAATTAAAAAAGACCACGAGCGTAAATGCAACAAGATTGATTCGTGTTATAAAAAAAACACTTGTTCCAATTTCAATTGCTTAATCACTTTTAGGAAATGTGGTCAATGACTTTGCCGGATAACGGCAACATTTAACTTATGAACCTTACATTCACCACCCCACCTAACACACAGCCACTTGCGGGTATTTAACGAATCGATAATTACACAATGTGACGCAATTTTTGTCCCTAGGTAGTAAGTGTAATTTTTTGTATTGCTTATGCCTAAAAAGTATAGAAAATGGCTATTATTCCCCACAAACTTTGCTTTTGAGAAAAGGACAGTGAGATTTTGAAATGTACTTATTTTCATTGCGAAAACGGGCGAATTTGTGTATTTTCGTTCACGTAAAGTCAGAAAAAAACATTAATCAAAATTAACATGTATTTATCCTAAAGTCATACAAAAATGACTACTAAATATTTAGAAGTGGGTAGTTTTTCGAGATTTACTATTAAACTATAAATAACTTTCACGAATCAGCTCCCAAATGTAGTCTCCCATCATGTTCTCCTTGAATTTATCAAGATGAGCATCAAGGATATGGACGTTGATGGACATCCTACAGCCCATTGTGCCGTAGTTCTTCACCAGAGTCTCAACCAGCTCCACAGAGTTTTCGACCTTGTGATTGCCCAGGAAGCCCCGATCCACTGCGACAAAGCTGTTCCAAGCTGCTTTCTCCTTACTGGTTAGCTTCTTGGGGAATTCATTGCACTCCAGGATCTTCTTTATCTGTGGTCCGACGAAGACACCGGCTTTGATCTTTGCCTCAGACAGCTTAGTCTTGAAGGTACTTGAAGGCTGCCGACTCCATATCTACGGCGCTGACAAATTGTTTCATAAGGCCCAATTTGATGTGCAGTGGTGGCATCAGCACCTTCCGGGGGTCCACCAGTGGCTCCCACTTGACGTTGTTCCTCCCCACAAAAAACTCGGTCCACTGTAGCCAGTCCCGCCTGTGGTAGTGTGCCTTGGTGTTCGCGTAGTAAATGGTCCTCAGTTGCTTGTAGCAGGGAAACTTGGTAAAACCGCCTTGGAGACCCATCAGAAATGCGACCATTTTGAGGTCTCCGATGACCTCCCAGCCGTACTCATCATACTTCAAGGCATCCAGCAAGGTCTTGATGTTGTTGTAATCCTCTTTGAGTTGCACCGAGTGAGCCAGGGGAAGAGACGGGTACTTGTTACCATTATGGAGCAGCACGGCTTTGAGACTCCCGGATGAACTGCCAATGAAGAGGCGCCACTCATTCTGGTTACAGGCGATTCCGATTGCCTTGAACAGACTGGTCACATTGTGGCAGAAGCAGAGCCCATCTTGACGGGTGAAGAAGCTGCAAAAAGGTTGGTGATGCTTCCTCTGATCTGCGACTTGTACACTTTTATCCAACAAGTTCCACTGCTTGAGCCTAGACGTCAAAAGCTCGACATTGGATTTGGTGATACTAAGATCTCTGATCAATTCGTTGAGGTCTTTTTGGTTGGGGTAGTATGGGTTTCTCTCCTCAGCTCCACCTCTGAAATTGTCATCTGGATCTACAATGTCTTCCTCGCTCTCTGACTTGCTGCTCTCTTCTAAAGACAGCTGCTCTCTCTCCGGAGGAGTGGATACGGGGAGCTCATGGCAGTGTGGCACTGGCGCGATGGATGAAGGAAGGTCCGGATATGTGATAGCAGGTGCATTCTTGCCAGTCTGACGTTTGGCAGGGTCCACCATGCAGAAGTAGCAGTTGCTTGAGTGATCAGTGGGTTCCCGACAAATTATTGGGATAGCGAACTTCATGGCTCTCTTTTCCCCTCCGTACCATCCTACAAAAATACATTTATTTCACCCATGACTAATGTGTAAGAGATTCTCGCAACATTTTTCATATATGATATATCTTTTCAATAACATTGAAAATTGTAAAACATTTTAAATTTAAAAACTTTTACACTTTTACAAATTGTAACAGATTTTATAACATAAAATTCCAAGCAACAATTGTCCATCTTACCTTCCAGAGTTTGTCTGCATTGCTCGCAGGTGAAATGAGGTGCCCAGGGTTTGTCTTGATCCCCGACAGGCATGCCGAAATATGCCTTGTAGGCCTCACACATCTTAGCAGATGCTTCCACAGAGTACTTTTTCACTCTTGCCTTGATAAATTGGCCGCAGACAAAGCAAATTGCGTCTGCCGGATGCTTGCAGCCTCTTGATGCCATCTCAGAAAAATGCAGATATGTATCCACTTAGGCAGCTGGAACTAAATCGAACTGGTGGGCACTGAATCTATCTGGAATGTTTTGGAAAATAGGTACATTTCAAAATATCACTGTCCTGGTCACAAAAGCAAAGTTCGTGGGGAATAACAGCCATTTTCTGTACTTTTGAGGCATAAGCAATGAGTAAATAACACTCAATACCCAGGGACAAAAAATTATTGTTGCACAGCGTTATCACTGCGGTGTTATTGCAATATCACTAGCCGCGTCGGACGCCTCCACGCCACTCGCATGACCCGACTCCTGACGCAAAATCATCTGGCTCAAACACCTCAATGTAAAGTCACAGCGGTGGCTCTACGTAGACAACAGCCGTACAGAGGAGGAGGGCCCCACAAGAATGCTCGCGTTAGTGAGGCTTGCTGCGTGATATGGCGACGGTAAGACATTGTGACGTATTTATGTTTAACGTCTTTCGCGCCATACGTAGCCAACCGCGCCAATCGGAGGTGCTGTTATCGTGGATATCGTTAAGATACGAGATCCATGAGAACCGCATCGTCTGTTTTGCACAAGATCGTTATTCTGAAATGCTTTTAAATGCATGCAACAGAACATGCATTTAAAATAGTTGAAGGTCGAAGGAAATAGCGTTTATCAATTAAATTATTGCTTTGTAAAGGAGAGGCTGGTGACATGGACATTTCATGTGACCATGCCGTCAGCCTCAGATTGTAAATGTTGTGGCTTTGCTCTCCAACACATCGGTGTGCTGTACTAGTGATGAATTGGCATGTTCTGTTTACCGGACAAACTTACTAATTGGCTGTGATGGTGGTGGCGGTGTTAACGACACATATTTTTAAGCGATCTAACCCAAAAAAACACGTGTATTATATATTATGTATTTCATATGACGTCGTCTTATTCTTTTTATGCCTTAGTTTGCGTAACTGACGGCACGTGTATTAAAGACTGCGATCATTAGAAGACTTATTTGCAGGCTTGTGCAGAGTGAACTGCATTTCAAGACCGTTCAAGTCATTTTCATTCGCAAGCGTACGGCGGCAAAGGCGCAGAAACAATACCAACGAGACGTTAAGCACAATCACAAACCGATATCGCGATAATCGCCATCGCACGTGACTTGACATCGTATCATCGTCGAAAATTATATCGCGGCGAAGACGAGGCTTGCGCGCGGCCCCAGAGACCAACTCGCTCCCTCGGAAGCGAGCCAATCACGGTCCCCTGTTGTGCGCGTCCCATGAACGATACGTTGGCGCCCCCTAGCGGTGTCGCGTTTGGGGGGAGAAAAAAAACCGCGATAAACACACACCAAAAGCACGGCCTGCAAAGCAGCAACAGCAGCAGCAGCAAATAACAACAACAATCCACCACGCTTCGTACCTGGTTCCCCCCGCTCTTGGGGTTGATGAAAATCAACACGGGCTTCGTGAGCGCTGAGGGGAGGGGTTTAATGATGAATGGTCGCCACTTGCTTTCCTGCTCCTCAAAGCACAAAAAACACAAAAAAAACGCAGGCAGGCGAATACAAGAATTTTGAAGCGGCCCGCGTGGATCCTCCAACTGCACAGACACGCGCTGATTGTTTTTTTGTGAGTAAATGCGTGCGTGTGCGCGGGGAAAAAAAATTATTGTATGCCTTTATGACGATACCCTACTGACTTTGATGTATAATTTAACGGCAACAACTGCGGGGGAGTCTGAATTATTGATGGCGTGTTTTACATGAGCTGCCGCTTCATCGACATGTAACACCGCGGCGCGAAGGTAAACAGGCCCCCGAGCGCAGCCGCGTGGCCCCACTTACATCCATGCCTTTCTTGCTGGGCTTTCGCTTGAAGGAAGTCCGCTTTTTCTTCTTCGTTGATGACTTGAAGGAGTTCTGCAAAAGCAACAAGATCAGCAATGATCGATTTGATATATCTATTTTTATTTTATTTTACCAGGTAAGGCCAACTGAGCTATATTGATCTTTTTCAGAAGCGAACCTGGCCACAAATGAAAGCCCAACGAAGTGGCTTATCGCGTGGAAATTTACAGCAGCCAAATACTCTAAACGCGTGTTTCTGAATGTGGAGGGGAAAACCGGAGGACCCGGAGAAAAATCCACACGACCACGAGGGGAGAGACATGCAAACTCCAAATATACAGGCATCAGCATCCGGATCGAACGCATGACCTCCTGTACACCAGGCGAGGTAGTTAACATCTCGCCACAAAATGTTACTGCTGCGTAGGTTTTCCCTACTGCACGGCTCTCCGACGTGTTTTCGGGTCGTGCCAAGCAACGCACGTCCGACGTTTGTCTCCACGCGCTGGGAAAGCCATTCACCACTCGGCTCTGAACTACAATTCACAAATTCATTATTCATTTATTCATCTAAAACAAAATCCTTGTAGGCACAGGTGAGATACATCTTATCATTTACAGCGCATTCTAAGTTCCACAATGGGGCCACGAGGCGCCACAGATAGCATCAAAGGCACGTGCTTAAGACACATTACCGCACAAAAATAATAATGAGAACCAGGATTGGAGAGTTAGATTTGGGGATATGGAAGCGATGTCTGATGCAAGATAACCGATGTTGGCTGTGAGCAGGAATCAAACTGGGGTTGCCAGGTTAAAAGATCAGCGCACTCACCATTACACTATCGCCCCTTGCATAAGTCACAACATGCTCATTCACTATCGCACACTCACATAGACAGAGATCCTCCGTGTAGCCTTAACATACGATCGGAGAATGTGCTGTTAGCGAGCACCTATGAAGGCATGGCACGGCACATGAGGGGGTGGGTGGCCAGCACCACGCCCGCCCGCCTTTGTCTTCTTAGTGCCAATGTTTACACATCGCACCGGGTGTTCATTTGAGTCGTCACTGGTGTTGGTGGCCGTGAGCAGGAATCAAAACCCGGGATCGCGAGGTTTGTAGTGCAGCGTGCTAACCGCTCCACTACCGCTCCCCCCACACTCACACACGCTCGCTCACACATGGTACAACTCCTGCGCGCGTGCTCGCTCTCAATCATACATGCGCGCACGCACACCCACGCACACATACGCACACATACTCACACACACGCAAACACATGCATACGCACACACACGCACGCACACAAAAGACAAAGATCCCCCGTATAGCCTTAACACACTGTAGGGGCAAGAGCTGTTAGCGAGCACCTATGAAGGCCGGAACGGTACACGAGGGGGTGGGTGGCCAGCACCACGCCCTGACCGCCTTTGTCTCCCCAGTGGCAATGTTTTTATCCACCGCACCAGGTACTCATTTGAGGCTGAGTCGACCTAGGGGAGGCCCAAGACCGGTTCAGATAATCGTCACTGGTGTTGGCCGTGAGCGGGAATCGAACCCGGGTCGCCAGGTTCATAGCGCAGCGCGCTAACCGCTACACTACCGCTCCCCACGCACACACACGCACACACGTGCACACACACGCACACACGTGCACACACACGCACACACACGTGCACGTGCGTACTCGAGTACCTGCGGCCTCCGCATGCGTATGACCCACGTGGGGGGCACGATGACGGCGGCGTGCGCTCCCAGCGAGCACGGCTCCTCGATCTGCTGCAGCATGAAGCAGGACACCTTGTTGTGGTACTGCGGAGCGGGGAGACGACGGGCGGGCATTCAACACGGGGGAAGAGCCACGCGCAGCCACAGCGACAACGGACCTGTCCGTGACCCGGGGCGAAGAGGTTCGCGCGCCGAGCGTCGGACCCGGCGAGCCGAGCTCGATTCCCGGTCGTGGCCGTGGCGAGCGGTCACCTGAACCTATCCTACCACCCCCCCCCCACCCCCCACCCCTGCACCCTCCAATTCGCCAACACCCCACTGGGCAATGTGATCAAATATGGTCGAACAACTCTCATGATGGACATGACATGTCAAGGTCATCATACACTCATGCACTGCCAAAGTGACACAGACTATATTTTAACCAGTTAGATTAACACGTTTTAACCAATCCTGATTTGATCTTGATTTGAAGCTTTCGTGACTGCAGGAATCCATACTCTTTGGTTCTTTCGGTAAAGTCGCGTAGTTAGAAATAAAATAGAACAAATCACGACGTTTCGATCGCAACACAAGCGGTCGTCATCAGTTCGTTATGGATTATATTGAATACCATTATATTTGAGCCATTATATTTGAACCATTATTATATCTATTTGCCTGGATGGTCTCGTCTCAAATCTCCACACAGGTGTCTCTCTCACGAATCATCTCGAGGACTGAACCCATGACTGTGTCGACATCTTGTGGCTGCCTCGTAGGCCCCACGCGTGCACCGCGTGGTTGTCGCTGGTGGTCAGCCGTGCGATCATCAAGTCAGGGTCTAAACGGCTTCATCTTCCGAGGTCCAACGACATCGCGAGCTTTCAGGGCAACGTGGCCTCAGGAAAGTTCGAGGCAAAACCGTTTATCTCAATATATGCACATGGACACAATCAATCAAATTCCCGAATCTTTTTTTTTATAAATCTGGGGAAGATGATTGAAAAGGAGAGTGTAAGACTTATGAATGATAGCATCTCCTTTATCAAAAACCTCATTCGAATTATACATTAATAGATGGGAAAATGAACACATTCATTAATTATCCTTGGACCAAAAATATAAATTTTAGCAGCACAGAAAAAGATCACGTCCGCCTTCATCTTCGCCGGCTCACCCCACTCTCACTCGATCAACGGTGGGAGTAAATGTATCAAGGTAAGCAAGGGTAATTACAATCACTTCATGAAATTAACCACGTGTACGCACTTAAATATTAATGCGATGAAGACGGGAGCCATCCGTGAAGATTGTAAGGTAAGCTGAAACACCTGTGTTTTTTGCGAGTGCCAAACCCACGGTCATAGCACAGACGATGCATTATGTACTACCTGCGAGAACAAATCACGATCTGGTGCTTAAACCGTAAAACGAACGTTCGGAAGGCCAATGTTGCACTCGGGCTAACGAAATGAAGCAGAAAGTAGTGACGAGAAGAGAGCAAGCGAGAGATTAATGCTAACGAGTCGGTGAACGAGAGTCCAGCGGGCAGAGACACCAACGTCAAAGAAACGAGACGCAAAAAAAACCTCCAATGGAATCGTGACCACCCCTGCACCCTCACGAATGGCAAACATCCATGGAGATGCTCAATGTCGCGAGCTGTTACATCCCTAATTATTATCGCGGAAGTATAGGTGAGCGAACGAATGGAAGGCCCTCTATACATACCGCTTGTTTACACCAAGAGCAGCTGATTGCGACAATCTCCTTACTGTGAAACGCGAACTTCTGTTGGAAACCCTGCAAGGGACAGAGCAGAACGTCAGGCTGCTCCGGTATTCAGGGCATTTCTTCAAAACGACATCACGTTCATTTGCATTCGCGGTGTTTTTATTTTGTCTTTTCCTCCAAATGTATTCCAATCGTCACTACCTCTGTCCATGCCACGCGATAAAGCGTTCATACGGAACTTTCGCAGTGAGCAGTGTGTCACCCCGGGTAAAGACAATGGGCCCTTAGAAGGGGATTTCATAGAACTACTTCTGAGAGTGCACCCCCAAAAAAGTTTCCTTTTTTTTAATTCATACACTAACAGTGCTGGCAACACTTTCCCCAACACCATGCTACGGAGATATTAGCCGAATGGCAGTCAAATAAAATTTTAGAACGATCGCAGGTGGAATTTGGCACATTAAACAAAGAACCAAATTTAACGTGACGGTTTTTTTTTTGCATCAATTCGCTACACTTGAGAACCCAGTTTGTCAAATCCTAGATTCGACAACCAAGGATCCAAAGCTGTCGCCCAGCTCCAGTGCTCCCGAGTCCCAAGCCACCAACGTGCCACCTCCAATTCACTTGCGCTTGTCAAAGTGTGAAAAATACAAACCTCGGGGCGACCGTCATTGCAAGCCGGCACTTCATGGGAAAAATAACCCTGGTGTGACCTCGGAGCGAGTCCGGACCCGTCCTTGGCCACAGACAAAAATTTGCCCGGCGAAATGTCCCAAATCCGGGTGGCAGTGCCCAAATTGCGTTGCTCTCACCTTTCCGCACTGTTTGCACTTCCCGTCCTGCCTCCTCCGATGGACCCAGTGGTGGCGCACAAAGGACGGCTGCAATGAAATCGGAACAGGACTTCGTATTAAAAGTAATAAAAGTAAATATTTTTGGAGGGGGGGGGGGGTTGGTGGGGGGGATCAAATCTGACACGACCTGATGTCAAGCAAAGCTGGCGCTTGCCGGAAGCCAAATTGCTCCACGCTCGGAATATTAATTCCGTAATCATTTGGCTGAAATGCTGTCAACTCGACGGGCAAGACAACCCCCTAATTACTCTCGCAAAATTACAGGCCCGACTAATGGAACACCAGGTTCGCAAAAAAAAATCATTAATATGATCCCCGTTGCCCATTGTGAGATCATCACGATAATTTAATGGCTGGAAGAATGACATTTCACTGATCATTGGACCCTCTCTGCTAAACATTTACACACATCGTGCTCGAATTAGTATTATTCTTGCCTTCCCCGGTGGCAGACATAAGTGGCACAGTTAATTAAAACAGAATTACACTGAGGTCGTTCCGTTTGCGATTTTACGCGTCATTTGGGTAATGCGCCGGGATCCAGTTGATCCTCTTTCGGCGGTCATTAGAATGTCAGATATACGCGGCCATTTCGCATGAGTATTGGCTTGGGGCATTCAAGCAATTGCCTGCCAACGGAGGGCATTGCATTGTGACCTGACAACATTTCTGTGAGGACCTCATGAAAGTAGTGTATGTAGATTTTAAAAAAAAACACGTGCAATGAGATATAAAAAAGGCCCGCTTCCAATGGCTTGGCAGAAAAAATTGGAAAAAAAAAACACGCAATGTAACAAGTATTGGCCAAACATCCCAAAAATCTAAAATAAATTAGCTGAAAATAACTCCACTGGGATTACACGTGGCAACATTTCCCCCTTAATGCAGGATCCTCCTGAACAAAAAAAGAAGTCTTGAAACTCTGCAAACAAGCGTCATCATAAATGATAATGATACTACTACTAATAAGAATTCCATGTACCACAGAAGGGTCCTGTCCCTAGGAGTTAATGGCATTCCTTTGCCAAATTGGCTACAAGAACGTTGCAAGACAACAACAATAAATTTGCATACACTCAATGGTTTGAGCTCTGAATTGATTGCTATGCGGAGAGATAAATCTCCCAACATTTCATAGACAAGTGGTGTGTACCCGGAATGGGGATGAAGTGGTGGCACTGTGGTCGGCCCGAGTTCCATTCTCTACCATGGCTAACAGCAGTGGTTTGTGATATCTGAAAACTAAACTATGAAGACGAAACTATTTTGTGTTTTACCAGGTAAGGCCCACTAAACTATGTAGCTCTTTTTCAGGCGTGACCTGGCCACAAATGATAACCCAACGGAGTGGCTTATCATCATGTGGAAATTTCGAGCAGTCAAATACTCTAAACGCACGTCAATTCTAAATGTTGGAGGAAATAGCCGGAGGACCTGGAGAAAAAAAACATCCACGCGACCGTGGCGACCGGCCCTGGGCACACCTCCTTCACCGCCCTGGCCAGCGTGGTGAAATATGGTCAAATGCCCCAAACGGCTGACAGGACGTGGGAAAGTCTTCATCCAACAGTGGATTGACAAATGGCTGTATACATGCAGTTACATCGTGAAAAATTACACTGCCCAATTAACACTGACACATTACCTTTAAAAAATGCTATTTAATGCGCACACACACACTAGTTTAACAACAATGAATTTCTAAGAAATACTTAGCCGAGCCCCAAAACTCTTTTTTCAGGAGGGTCATACCATTCAGATATTTGGCCAATCCCATTAATGAATGCTTGGTATGTGAGAAAAAAAACAGGGCACTCGGGAGAAAACCCAAGCAATATACCTGAGGCTGGCTCCCAAAGCTCCGTACAGATGGATTTAATCCACAGGCAGACTTCCATGTAGTGAGTGGACCAAATCTCTCTGTGGACTGAACCCATTGCTGTACTGCCATCTCCCGGCCCTCACAGCGATATGCCTACAACATCTGGTAATGCATTGGTTGTCACCCATCCAGGCAATGACCATGCTCAACCCACCTTCTAAGCTTTCGGAGCTCTGATAAGAGGCGGGTGCATTCAGGGTAATTCGATAGGTAATTTAATATTAATTTAGTAATTAAACGTAATTTACTCTGACACACATGCATTGGAAATATTACATTTTTTTCCCTATTATACGACGTTGCCCTTTAGGAAACAAACAAAGATGAATGCTGAGAGGGTGCAGAGAGGCATTTTGGGGGCGGCGTGTTATTTAAAAAAAAAAACAATTTTCTTCCTTCGCGAACCTCTACGGAAACGTGGGGAGCGAGGAAAGCAGAAGTTAGCTTTTTCTTGGCATTAATCTCAAATCACCCAAGACTATATTTTTCACATCCTTTTTCATCGTGACAGGTGGCGTCTTGTGAGCAAAAAGACTCAATGTCCATGGCTTTTCAATGCAACTCCTGCGGATATACGTGTGCCCACTTGTTACGGCATTGCGCAAATGAAAGAAAAAAAAACCGTGATCATTTTGTTTCCACGAGACACCAAATCGTGTTTCGGAAATTCCCATGCTGCAATGCAATAAAATGATGAAGAGAGAAAGAAAGAAAAAATCAAACTCTTCATTTTCACAATTTCACGAAACAACGCGTCAATTTATGCCACTCGCGAAATTTTCCAATTTCCACAGTCGATGGACCGACATGGGGTTCCAACCCCCTTTGGCTCAAGGTCCGCGCAGCTCCTCTGCTCGGATCAACAAAGGTCCAACGACCTTAAACGGGGCTGCGATTGTCAACCACATTCGTGGATTATTACAAATTATTAACGCCACAAACTGCACAGAGAATCAATCGGGGGGGAGGAGGGTGTTGGGCAGGTAACGCGCTCGCATTGTCCTGTCCGTGCCGACCGGTCAAGCGGCTAACGGGAGTACAAGCCTGGCTTATTAACATCCGGCGAGCAGCAGAGACACCTTATAAGGGTGCGCGCGCTATCTCTTTGGACAAATCGAGCCGGCTTACAAACGGCGTGCCTCGTAAGCGCTCTTCCAAATCCAACGCCTCCGACAGATCTCCCTACGTCACCTGCACCCCGGCAACAGTTGCCATGGCGACGCAAGACACAGAGGCATGAGATGGAGTTACTGGTCAGAGAAAACTGTTCATAACATATTATCCACTTAATTATATCAGTCCTTTCTCATCATGTATTCCTTATTTACGTTTGCGGGACGCATTTTCCTTTACAATGTTTGTTGTTGCAACCACATGATATTGTTTCATGCTAGAATATAAAGTGTTTCAAGGGGTTTGATTGCATTTGGACCCTATTACTGCCAGTTGCTTCTGTTGCTGCAGCTTTGCTCGAAAAAAAGAGCACGCACAAAAGTGTTGTACTGTACTTCAACGTCAATCTCTGCGTGATGAGAATTTCAGCGTCGTAGCAGCGTGGATCAATTTGTGGGCTTAAAGCCATATGCTTAACAAACACCGGAGCAGCGAGCTCACCACCATACTACCTAGCTTCCGCAACGCACAGCTCATCAGCGAGCTCACCACCACCACCACGCCACCTTGCTTCCACAACAGACATCTCATGAGCGAACACACCGCCACCACAATAACCTAGCTTCCACAACGCACAGCTCATCAGCAATTCAACCACCATCACACCACCCAGCTTCCACAACAGACAGCTCATCAGCTGTTGGAAATCTCTACGTCTTCCCGGGACATTAAAAGTCTCACTTTCTGTCATTTGCACGGTGATAACAATAATAATAACACGCAACTCAAGACAATGCATTGACACGTACCTCTCCCCCTCTCATGGCACAGCGAGATATTCTTCTTCCCAAGATATGTCTTGGTTTTTTTTTGCACCTCAGAGATGGCGACCTTAGAGGTCTCCGCCTCCCCACACCCATCATCGACTCATAAATCACCACAAAAAGCATCAAAGTGCTGCTGTGCTTAATCTCGGCCACTGGTTTTGTGGTCACAGATAGCGCCAGTTGGACTGGCAGGGGCCAGAGAGCAAAAACTTACTCCCCTTGGGGCCAGATTTGGCATCGGGGCAGGCTTGAGAAAGACTCTGGTGGAGGAAGGCCAGCTCATTTATAAGTACGTGTCACAGGCTACGACAGACAGCCACTGCAATTAAGTTCTGCTGAATACACTATTGCTTTTATATATATTGGGACGTGAGATGCACAGTATTGCTGTAAAGGGCATAACTGTGCAGGAGCAGCATTTTGTAGGTGTCAAATTACAAGCGGGCCCTGCCCTCTGCTGGCGAATCGCCAACATTGCAATGGTAGCACCACGGTTGAACGGGGAGCGATATACAACTTGAAGGTAACGTACGCACTGATTTCAGGTCGTACTGTTGAGCATAGAAGATTAAAACAATATATATCCATAATTGGCCGTTGCCTTTTGAGGAATGAGCCTCATTCGGAACAGTGCACATTAAGCGCTCAATTGCGATAAGAGATTTGCGGCCAGAGACATTGCGCACAGCGCGATTAGCACGATGATTGTCCAACGGGGGACCTTTTTTTTTGCAGACGTTCTGCGGTTTTCATCGGCGTTTCAAAACAGGACGCAGCGTTGTAAAACATCCAGATGAGCCAACGGAGGCTCCAAAAATTATCCAGGAGAACAAGCGTCCAAAATCGCCATCGGAACACGCTCATTTCCGCTGGTGCACAGAGAAGCGCCTCACCAAAGCAATTGCGTGGTGGCAGTGCCGAGATGTTATCTCCCTCGCCTGGTGTGTAGGAGGTCCGTGGGTTTCATCCCAACCCTGAATCCTGGAGTCTGCGTGTCTATCTCCCCATGGTCATGTGGATTTTTCTCCGGGTCCCCCGGTTTTTCGCTCCACATTTAGAATCAACATCACGCGTCTAGAGTAAATTTCGATTTAAAGCTTTCGTGACTGCAATGATTCATCTTCTTTGGTTCTTTCGGTAAAGTCACGTAGAATGAGAATAAAATAATAAATTGAATTTCCGCGCAATAAGCCACTTTGCTGAGCTATCATTTGCGGCCAGGTCGCTTCTGAGAAAGAGCTACATGGTAGCTCAGTGGGGCCTTACCTGGTCAAATAAAAATAAAGTTTCGTTTAAGGTAAGTTGCTTCGTTTCTAACAATTCGGCTACACAATGGGGGGCAGCGGCAGCCGCAGAGAATTCCACCGGAACACCGCGAGTTCTCTTCAGCTGTATTTTCTGGTGGGGAGTGGGGGGGGGGGGGTGCCCGGGGGGGGGTGCCCACGTCGTAAATTGAGCGTGCATTGGCGGGTCGCGGAACATCGCGGTGTCAAATGTGGACGTCGTGACATCACACGGTGCTGTGCCGTCATAACGTCTGCGCGCGTGGCGACAAACACGTGGCGCTTCATCACTCGAGCTCACTCCGCCTCTCCATCATTTCTTCATCTCGGTTACATCTCCCCAAATCTGTTGGCTCCGCGCCTCGGCGAGCCACATATCTCCTGGTGGGCCTCTCCCCAAGGGCCTTCGCGAGCCAGACTTGGCCTTAGTGAGATTGTCAATCGAAGAACCCTGCTGTAGGGGAATTATACCCAAATAGCAGTGGGGGCCACAGCCGACTTGGCAGCTAACACCGGCATTCAAAAAGGAAACAGTGTTTAAAAAAAAAAAATTACTGTTTCAGTGGCACTTTATCAAGTTGTATCAGGTGCTTTTGGTTAACGCCACAAAACCGGAACGGCTGTATCGTCTCTCCTCAGTGGGGCAACGGCAAAACTGCTAAAGGTTACACTCATAAACACAGCTGCCGCTTGCAAACGGACGCACTCCGTGCTCCTGACTTGCCACGCTCGCAGCCATACCCATGCGGCGGCAGAGGCAAAAGCGCGCGGGCGACCGACTGACTGCTCGAACCGGCAGGAGGGCAACGCGTAATTTGTGGATGACAAATGCCACAGCGCAGGGCTGCCAGGCAATAGCCTATTTCCCTCGAGACGAGCTGCGTGGCTTTCAATTCCGCCATCTGGTGGCAGCAGCAGGTTTGATAAAAACGCCACTTCGAACCGCAGTCTCGTTCACTCACTCGACGACGACCCGCGTGCGCATCTGTCGCCTCGTAAAAAAAAGACTGCAACAACGTGGAACTGAAAGCCGTGCGCCCCCATCCCGCCTCCCCCCGCCCCCCGATGTCCTCCCTACAGCTGCACGCGTTTGTGTGGAGTGACCCGCTAAATAAGTAGGTCGCAGGCTCTGCTCTCCTGCCCCTGACTTCCCTCCCAACGGCCGTCACACGCCGTCGACCGTTTGTTGTAGGCCCTCGCTTGTTTCATCCCGACGTGACCACTACGATGCTCTCTTTATTGGGATGTCCACAAAGGAAGTGCAGCGGCTGCACGTTGTACAAACTGCTGATGCTGCCGCACAAAGTTTGTTGACAAAGTCTTAAGGAAATTGCCTTCGTCTTTTAAGTCGCCTTCAAAGTTCTACTTTTTAACTCGCAATGCACAAGAATAGTTCTCCCCCTCACCCAACCGATCTCCCGTCTCGTAACGTCCCCAGCCGTTTGCTCCGTTGACAAGGCGCGGACTCCTGTCAAGACCTTCTCGACTCACAGTTTGTGCTCGCCAGATCGAACCGTTTCATATTCGGCTCCCAAGCTCGAGAACTCCTTAGCCACCTCAGCGACATCTGCAGATTCAGCGTCCATCGTTACATCACTCCCGAAAACGTGTGTGTTCAACAAGTCCTTTGTTTTTGTAATATCTTTATGAGCAATGAGTTGTTTTTATTTTATCCCGTCTTGGATTGTTAAACACTTTCTGAGGGGCCTTTGTCCTGAAAGGAGCTATACGGATGCGATGTTGGTTGTTACTCATGGCCAGGTTTAAGATCTTCCTCTTCTCCCACCATTCTACCTACAACTGCCTCTTGCATCCACTCACGCCACGGCGGATGGAAGCGCCCCGACTAGAGAGAGCTCTGGGTTGCCTACGCCTCCTTTTTTTCTATCCCCGACGAACGTCGCGCCGTTTTCGCGCAGCATATTGCGACGCGGTCGCATTTCGACGCCGCGCTCCGAATCCATAAACTGCACCGTGAATTGCGCAGGTAGAGTCCGCGCGTGCGAACGCACCTTTCACGCGACCCGTTTCACTAGCCTGCAAGAGCCCCGTGCCGCCACCGGGATCACGTTCGCGACCCGGATCGTTGCCTTTCCAATTAATCCTCGTGGGAAAATGTGATCGCGCGATAGCTCGGCTTATTAAGTCAAACTTTATTGGTGTCAACGGTGGGAGAGTCTTTCCAGCCCGCGCTTTCTAACGAAGCTGCCAACGCAGGCCCGAGAAATCAGCGGCGCGGTTGCCAACACATTCTAGCAGATGAGGCCCCGTAACACGAGCGTAGGTGGGCAGACCCACAAATGAGGCCACCTCGCAGTCAACGTTTCGGTCATCTTAATAACACAAATACGCGGTGCAATTTTGCAGATGATCACGTCGTTTTTAGAAAAAATGGCTTATTTCCGCAATAAGTCAGCGGCTTGACACGTACACAAAACTGAACTCCCCATCGTCATCCCAGCGCGGACGGCAAAGTCACGTTGTCCGAGTACGTGGGACACCGTGGTAATTTGTGAGCGATTATCCCTTATCAGGAAATCTGGACACATTACCTCTCTGTGAATCAGTATGAATTGGTGGGAATTACTAGTCACACGCAGCACCACTCAGATGCGCTTCTGCAGCTGTCTGGAAAGTTCTTCCTTCTGATACTAGGAAGCCACTGGAGCTACACACACTGTAAAATCTTGATTGAAAACTCATCCCTTTAGAACTGCTTTATTGTGTTTGGTGTTTTTGTTCTTCCCCCGCACCTCCGATTACCACAGTTGGCTACGTATGGTGTGAAAGAAGTTCAACGTACAATTTGCGATTCCACTAACTAACTATTGCCTTACATTTCAAGTAGAAATATACGTACATACAGGTAACATTTTATACAATAATGCCTGCACGTAAACTACTGCCAGACTTAATATGGAGTGCTCTTCCCAATGATGTCTACTATTTTTATATCGGTTAACAAGCCTAATGTTGTTGATGAGAACTCCAAGGTCAAAACCGATCTAGCCCTTACTTGCTTGCTTGCAAGGACAACACTGCCGGACAAAATTGGTCTGCAAAGCCAAAAGGCCCATGAACGTAAACATATTTTTTAAATAAAACATGTGGATAAAGAGACGCGGAATTTCTGCTCGTATACGCTTTCACATACACGAAGACAAAATAACGTATTCTTGGTTCTTTCGGTAAAGTCACGTTGAAAGGAAACAATAAAATAATAAAATATATAAAACAACAAAATTCGATTGTTTTATATATATTATTATTTAATATATATTATTATTTTATTGTTTCCCTTCAACGTGACTTTACCGAAAGAACCAAGAATATGAATCACTGCAGTCACGAAAGCTTTAAATCAAAACAAAATAACGTGGGCACACATCGGAGCTGCATGCGTGTGGCAAACCGGCGCATACAGCATTCCCTCGTCATGCGCGAGGGATACGTTCCAGAGATTCTCGTGAATAGAAAATGTCGCGGATAATGATATTGGTCTGATTAATTACCTACCTTCAATGAATGCATACACCATTAAAGACGTGAACATTTTCACGACAACACATCTGTTTACCTCGTCATTTTCTCTCTCGTCACTTTCTCGCATCACATTCTCTCTCGTCACCTTGTCTCTCATCACTTTCCTTCCTCTCCCCCTCTCTCAGTGCAGCAGTCGTGTCGAGTTCCAGATGCGATTCGCGGGCAGCCAAAATAGCGGACAGCCCAAGTTCGCAAATAACGAGGGGAATTACTGCGTAACAAAGCGCACAAATGACTCACGGCACAAACAGCCCCCCCCCCCCGCCCCGGAGTGGCGGGTCGACGCACAACACCCACCTCTCGGATGTTCCTGCAGCCCGCTTCACGGAAGGTGGGTTTGCAGCGGAAATTTATCTGCAGAAAACAAAAGGCGAGAACACCGAGCCTCCCACACATCCTCCTCATCCGAATGCAGGCGGACGTCTCAAATAGGACGACTCAACAAAAGGCGCGCGCTTAACAATGCCCCCGCCGGACGCAGGTTCCGTACACACCGGCCCGACCGCCCGTCCCCATCGCGTCGAGCGTCGCTGCTGCCCGAGATGAGTTCGGAAAAGAAGTGCGGGTGGACTTTGAACGCCAAGATTGTAGGTCAGTGGATGATTATGATGATGTGAGTGTTATGCTTATGATGTGAATAGTTGAGAAATTACGTTACAGTCAGTTAGAAGTGGTTACACAATTACTTTTTCATCGTCATCAGCAGCAGCTGTAAACAATCCACTGATGGACGATTGCCTCCCACCAAGCCTTCGCTACATGTCACAATCTTGTTATGGAACGATCCCCGAACACTTGCAAGCAAGAGGATTTCACCGCTCTGCGACTTGGTGGACATCCTCATCGAATTATTCAAAGATATGTTTTGTACATCAAAGTGACAACCGTTATCTATTTTTTCAAACTGCAATTAATTTTAGAAAAACAATGAAATGTAATTTTAATTTCATGATCTGTTATATAACTGCAGACATAGGGACAATCTATACCAGTCAACCCATACGGTTTATCTGTATTCTTGTACAGGGAAATTGAGTATTCAGGTCCATACGGCGTACAGTCGTTTCAATACGGGCACAAAATAATAATTTTGTCTATTTCTTTGTGTTTCTCCCTTGTGATGGGACTTTGTAGGATGGACGTTGAGATTTATAAGGGCACGGGGTCACCAATAAGGTCTGAATTGGTCTGTGACAGGGTAGGTGCTGATAATGGGTTGACAGGTATGACAATCGTCGCTGGTTCACACACATTCCCACTGAGGCTCAGAGCCACGCTGCAGCCCCACACAGCACTCACTTTGGCCAGCTGATCAATGCAGGCCACGTGCACAACTATCTTACATGCGGCACACTTTTTCCTTGGCAGAGATTTCTGCAAAAAAAAGCGACAAAGGGGAGAGAAATACAACGGTGAGCGCGACGATAACAAGAGTTTGTACACGCATTGACCAACGACTCGCGACTTCCAAGCACACGGAGACAATGAACACGTTTCACCTTTACCTCGGAGGCACCTGAGGCCATGAAGCGATCCAACGGTGGTTGCAAGGGACATTTCGAATGCTCCCACTGGAAACACCAAATAATGCTACCAGTTTACACGATAGACCTGACTCCATGCCTTGTTGTTGCTGAATGTTCCCATTTTGCTGGGGGGGGGGGGGGGAACCGCGCCAAATTTTACACCACCGCCGCCAGCTACACAAACCGCCCAGGTGACACGATTCGGTTCATTTGGTTCGGATGCAAATCAGGTCCTCAAGTGGGAACGAAAAAGCTGTTCGAGAAGAAGGATGCTGTGGAAATGGTGCAGGTGCCTCGCGAGAGCCTTAACCCGGAGGGAGCACAAGAGGGCACTCGTGTAGCGTTTGACGCTGGAATTCGACGGGGGCGAAATCTTATTTGTGGATACGCGCGACGGCTGCCAAATAACGCCCGGAGGCCTTCCGATGTTTATTCAAGCTTACAGTTGTGAAAAGCACGTAATTTCTTCCGAATATAATGCGCGAAAATTATGCAAAGGCGTACCTGAGCGAAAACATTCAACGGGGGAGATTTTTTTCCCCAAAAAAAACGGAGCGGCAACCTTTTCGGCACACGGCGACCTCTCCGCGCCCCCTTAAGTAATAACAAAATGCCACAGCTTTAATTAGAATCCGTGACTCCAGCAACGAGAGGTGCGTAAGCGGGCAATCGGGAAAACAGCGGCTCCCACCCACGCGCTCCACACACAGCGGCGGCTAAAGTGACGGCGGCGGCCAGCATTCCCCACGCACCGCCTCTCCGGCCGCACGCCACTTTTCCCAAGATGTGAAGACCAAAGTACCGAAGAGCACAACGTCACACGCGTGTTAAACCAACAGCAACGCCGTGCCCCGCACACCATAAGCTCTACGCGGGCCCTGGTAACTTATTTTCAATTCCACGTAAACGTGGGCTAGGAATAAAAGTGAACGCAAGTGTCTATCTAGCGGACATCTGTGAAAACTACTGGACATCTGTGAACAAGAGCTTTATAGCTCATCGGATTCCTCCAGTATAAATATTCTGATTATGAAAATATTAGATATTTTATTTAACGGGAACAAAATTAGTTAGCAGTATTACAGCTGCGGGCAAATAACTCCTCGCGGACATTTAGTTTTCTTTCTGCGTGTGTCACCCCTCTCTTTAAGGCATTTAAACATTTGCAGATGCCCTATATTGGAAGACATCCCAGGCACGCCGGCGCGCCATCAGCACTGAAACTAAGACAGATGGCGCCTCTTTCCCGTGAGCAAGTGTGAGGGTCACGCATCACAGCCCACCATTCCACGTGCACCCATTCTGAAAGATGGCATTTGTATGTCATTTTATAGCCAATTACCTTCCCGCGCCAGCGATCGTCATTTTTGGAATTGAAATTTTAAGTGTTTAGGTGGATGGTTTAATTGGAATACTGTACTACGCTTGAAGTGTCCTATGTTTCATATTTATGCACTTTCAATTGCTTTACACAAATATGTAATGATGGTACGCTAATATTTTTCCTTTGCGATTTACATCAGGACTGTTTAACTCATTGTCGAGAGAGATGTGTTTATACAATTTTTTCGAAGTATGTGTGGCGTGCAGGACAAAGCATGTTGTGCCGTACGGCTTCCCAGCGCGTCGTCGGATGGTGTCGCTTCACATTTCCTTCCTGAAGAAGCTCCCAAGCGCGTGGAGCGAAAACGTAGAATACCGTGCCGAGCGACGCGCGAGAGCCCGACCCGCAAACACTTTGTGTGCGAGCTATGTGGAGGCCGTCGAAGTGCGTGAATTTTTCAATTCAACTGTACGTGTGTATGTTGAACTTCTTTCGCACCGTACGTAGGCAACCGGGATAATCGGAGGTGCGGTGGGGCGGGGACAGACAACAATGTTTGTTTCACGGAAAATCCCGTTCAGCCCGTATCGGTGGCAATGGCACGCAGCCACGAAACATGTTTTATGTTTTATTTCAACAGGTAAGACCCACTGAGCTGTATAGCTCTCTTTCAGAAGCGACCTGGCCACAAATGATAGCTCAGCAAAGTGGCTTGTCATGTGGAAATTTATAGCAGCCAAACACGCTAAACGCATGTTTCTAAATGTGGAGGGAAAAATCAGAGGACCCGGAGAAAAATCCACGCGGCCACGGGGAGGACACGCAAACTCGAAATATACAGCAGTCAGGGTTGGGATCAAACCCACGACCTCCTGCATAACAGGCGAAATAATTAACATCTGTCCACCGTGGCACACATCGTCACGACCCAAACAATACTGCTGAACTGGCGAAGGCAGGTACATCATGTGGGTGTGTGCGTGTGAGTGCGGCGTGATAAGGTGGGGGGTTACACGGGGGGGGATGGGGCGGGGGGGCACCAATGTTACTGACCGCTGTCTTCGCCATGCAGCTCTCCTCTCCCACGTAGCACACGTCGCCAGACACGCTGGTGTCGTACCACAGATGCTCCCCAATGGAAGCGTTCTCCTGCGTGCAGGTGAGACGGTGGGGGGTGCGGGATGACGGGAGGGGGGCAGGGGGGAAACACAGGAATCAAACAAATATTAGTTATCAATCTATGGGACCTTATTTGGCAGTATACAAAATTATGAAAAATAAGAAAAAGGTTTCACCCTTCCTGGCAACAAAACAGATGTTTCAAAGACAATGCATATATCATCAGATAATTTTTGTTTGCATGTTTTGCCACAAGTACGTGTGATTAATGCAGATTCGATGCCTTGCAATAGGTATCTATTTGAACATCCTAGGACCAATTTTTTTATTGCCAGAAAGACCTAAACCTATTCTTGGTTTTCATCCTTAGCTGTCAAAGTTGCCGCTTCAGTGAACTTACAACGTAAAATAACACGTTATTAAAAAGTGATAGGGGGTGTGTTTGTCTTTGCACTGCGACTTGGAGGGAAGTTGGATGGTGTCAAATGATGGATTCACTGGGGGTGCAATGAGTTATCGGCGTTCGGAGATTCTCGTTTTATCGCGTCGTTCCGTGAACATGCGGGTTGTCTGAGGTGTAACGGAGTCTTCTCATTGTGTGCACATGGCTAAGTGTTCGATGAAGTAATATACAGTAAAACCTTGGATTGCGAGCATAATTCGTTCCGGAAACGTGTTTGTAATCCAAAGCACTCGTATATCAGTTGTGATCAAGTGACGCTCGGCAGTACAAAGCGTACACGTACACTGCTCGTATTGCAAGACCCTCGCTCGTTTATCAAATTAATATTTATTAAAAAAATTTGCTCGTCTTGCAAAACACTCGCAGACCAAGTTACTCGCAATCCAAGGTTTTACTGTATTTAAAAAAAATAAGATCACTCTTTTCGTCAGTTGCCAATCTCATTGCATTTACCAATGAAACCCAGTCGTCTGCAAAGTCACGACCTGTATACGACAGAAGCTCTCTTAACGACGGTACTTGGTTCCACGGAACCGGTCATCAGGTGATTTGGTCGTTCAACGAGTATAGGAATAACACGTTAAAGACTTAAATCGTCGTGATAGCATCCAAAGTTACCCTTTTTCACCCAAAAAAAGGACTTTCTGATATTTAAACAATGGATATTAATACATAAAGATACTAAGAACATTATAAACACATCATAATTAAAATAAACATAGTTAATCAATGCATTCATTAATATTTACTGTACCTACAACAGCCCGTCGTGAACAGGGGAATGGTCGGTAAGCGAACACATTGGGCTCTATGGAGGCACTACACTACACTATACACTACACTATACACTACTATACACTACACTATTATACACTACCCTATACACTACACGATACATTACACATTGGGCTCTATGGAGGCCTGTCGTTAAAAGATTAGTCATTAACAGGGGTAGTCGTGAAGAGGGGTTCTACTCTACATTACAATACACTACACTATACACTACACTTTGGGCTATGTGGAGGCCCGTCGTTAAGCGATTAGTCATTAACAGGGGTGATCGCTAAGAGGAGTTCCACTGTATCTCTCCAACCAACATAAATAAATAAATAAGCCTTTAGATTTTTGAAAGTTTACACAGATCCTTCCCAATGTGTTTTCCGGTTGTGCCACATGTTTCACATCCTGCTCTCCACGTGCTGGCTTCTCGAGGAATGTGAAGCGAAAAGTGCCACAGATTGTTTTCCAAATAACACGCAGCACCAACCTGCAAACACGAGCTGGACAGCACAATGGCGAGAACCCACATTGGTTCTCCAGTGAAGGTGACACACAGGGTTATTCCATTCCACATTCCTATGGCGCCCGCCACAGGAACGTGGACTTTCCACCCAATCGCTCAGGGCCACCAACAAACATGGTCAATCAGACACCAACAGAACAAATCTCATTAGATCATCGGCCCAGTCCAAATGATGTATTCGTTGGTACCACTTTGAGATGGCAATGCTTTGGTTGTGCCAACATCTTTCAAATTACCTAAATAAGTGAATATTGTAAATATATATTTTTTAGCAGATACATTATCACATAAGCCACCGTTTATTAGTTGTACACAGACTCTGGTTTCACTAAGTGTTTGCAGTCTGCAGCGGAGGCGACTTCCGCTCTGGCAAGTATGTATGCACGTTGAATTTATTTCGCACCGTACATGTCCAGCTTTATGTTTTTTTTTACTTCTTTCACACCGTACGTAGCCAACCGCGCTAATTGGACGTGCGGAGGAAGCACAACAAACTAAACACAAAGAGCAGTTCTCAAGAAATTTGTTTTCAATCTAGATGATTTAAAAGTGCACCGATCCAGTGGCTTCCGAACGTCAGAATTGAAGAGCGTTCCAGACGGGCCGCAAAAGCGCATCTGAAAGCGCGCGATGCGGTGAACGTGTGATATCAGCGGACCACATCGCCCCCACAGACCGATCAGGAGCCAAGTGAAATGCGCGAGGGACGTACGTTCCAGTCGACAATGCTGCGCGCCTCTCTGTCCGCGGGGTCCTTGGGCGCAGTGGAGGGGAGGCAGGTGGGGGGCCCCGGGGCGATCAGCGACGCGGGGGCCAGGTGCTGCATGCCCGACCGAGAGATGGCCTTCCTGCATGCAGCGCGAGGCAGGCACACGCACACACACACACGCGACCGTCAGCTCGCTCGCGCGCGCACGCCAGGGGCTCGCGGCTCGCACCTCGACACAGTTGCAGAGCACAGGGCCCAAAAAGGTACCAAAACGTCAAGCTGGGAAGAGGCACCATCCCAGTTGTAATGGATAAAGAGTGGACGCGTCTTAGGTTGAGCAAGGTTACAAACACTTGGGGGTAAAAGACGATGGGAGGGAGCAGTGCGGGGGAAGAAGCAGGGATAGAAGTGTAGTGACTTGCAGTGTGGTGGTCAAACAGTGTGGAGAAGAAGAAATCGTCAGACGATTTCAGTTAATCTATACAATGTTAATAATAATGCATAAGCATTTTAACACTTATGAAATATGCATCTCACAATCGTTGAGGAACCACGGACATGCTGGAAGGCAGCTTAGACGGTGCAAACAATCGCCCAAGCTCTGCAGTTCTCCACATATGCAGATGTTTTCAGAAAATCAATGAGCGTTTACACACGTGGGAGGAAACCGCAGCGACTGGGAAAAAAAACCACCACGTCCAGAAGGGACAGACGATATGAGTCTGCACTATCATGTACCACCTTCTTCTGGCGGGCCAGGGTATGGCAACTCGACGTTCGTGGCAAGGGAGTATCACTTTTTGCGGTGAAGCAAACCCTCGCCCCCACAGCGCTGGATTACAGACGTGCGCAGGAGCGGAGCCACAGGGGGGGCTGGGGGGGGCTCAGCCCCCCCTGAAATTTTGGGAAAGTCGGTAATCGGGAATACCGGATATCCGGCTGCTGCAAAATGCTGCAGGCTGCCACCTTGTGCTGCCCTGGAGGCTGCCACCTTGTGTGCTGCCCTGCAGGCTGCCACCTTATGCTGCCCTGCAGGCTGCCAACTTGTGCTGCCCTGCAGGCTGCCACCTTGTGCTGCCCTGCAGCCTGCCACCTTGTGCTGCCCTGCAGCCTGCCACCTTGTGCTGCCCTGCAGGCTGCCACCTTGTGCTGCCACCTTGTGCTGCCCTGCAGGCTGCTTGAGTGGCAGCCTTTCGAACTTATCGAACTTATTAGCCACACCAGAGGCTCCGACCTATTAATAAACTCCGCGTTCAAATCCAATAAAATTTGTTTTATACATTTGTGGCGCCCATTGGAAAACATAAACACTGGATATCTCAGAATATTGAAGTCAGCCCCCCAAAGTCAAAATCCTGGCTCCACCCCTGGACGTGCGCCCCCAATGTTCTTGATGTCGTTGTCAGTCTGTAGCTCTCCACTGCGGGACAAAGGGCCCTGCCACCCACAGTTTTCTCCTATTCCTTCCTTTCCTCATTCGCACCTGTCCAACAGCAGCCCTCCAAGCCGTTTGATTTCGGGTTCAACCACCACGCCGCAAAACCAAACACTTCTCTTCACCCCCCACCGCCCACCTGCCTCCCATCGTCTCTTTCCCCACGTTGAAACGTATAAACGTCTACGCGTGGCACCTGTTTTGTTGCTGGCCACTTGGCGTTTCGAGGCCTTTAGTTCCAGTGCTCGGCAACCGTGATATGAAAAACAAAAAACTTGCCCAAGCGGCGCCTCCCCTCCCCCCCACTCTTTCGCACGATGACGTAAATAAATATAAAGACGGACAAATGACGTAATCACAAATCAATAGGTAATCACCTGCACTACGTCTTTCGTTTAAGCAACGAGTTAGCGAAATGCTCGAGCTGCTGCAGCCGGCATCCCAAGTGCAAGTCGAATACACCGCAACTGAAGCTCAGAAATTGCAAACACAAAAAAAAACAAATTGCGCACGAAGGTGAAGCAACACCCCCCCCCCCACCCAAAACCTCTATCACCAAGCGCACATGGCGACAAATAGATGCGATCTGCATCCAGACTGAAACCAGCGTGACAACATTCAAAGCAGACTAATAAGTGAAAGCGCAAACGAGACGTAAATCAAAACACGTGACGGGTGCACTCCTGACATCCCGAGGATGGGGCCAAGATTACCGGGTCAAGGCTCCCTTCCCCCAAAGCGAGGGGCGAGGGGCTCGCTACGCGCAGCCTAGCCGGTCGCGAGCCAGCCGTGACAGCCGAAAGCGGCCGTTTCTCTTTTTCAAAGATCGAACGCGCTCCTCCGGCAGCAGACACGGACGTGCTGCAAATACCACGCCGGGCCGCGGGCACGGTCCCAACGATGCCGCCCCACCCCCCCCCCCTTGCCAACGTGCGGGCACGCACGGGGGCGTCCGTGAGGACGACTGCGAGAACGGTAAAACATTCAACGGCGACGCTGGAAAACGATCGCCACCGGTGCCAACGCGGTCGCGACGCGCGCTCGCTAAGAGCGTGGCGAGCGAGCGAGCGATGAAACCTGCGACACACAAGACGAGATTGAAAAATTAATGACGGTGATTAATTTTAAATGGCCCTGATGACATAGCTCATTCTTTTTAAGCCTCCTTAATAAACAATGAAAATGCGAGTTTCCATGCAGCCTGCGGCTGGGGGTACAGTTTCCCGTACGGGCATCTGAAAGTGCAGGGTGGAAGGGCTGCCAAAGTGAGGAGCATTCTGCTGGATGATATTGGTCAGGCAGGCCCATAAGACTAAAACATATATTTTTTACACCGATATGTGGAGACAGATCGAAATTCTGTTTAGCCGTAATGCTCCACAACAACACACCACAGTTTGTATCATGTGTATTTTTTGTATTGAACAGGACCACAACAGTGTAGATGGAGGGCTCTTGCCAACAACGTCAAGTAGCCAAACAGCATTTACATAGCAAGCCTGACACTGCTGACGAGACCCAGAAGGTCGAAATCGGTCCAGAGTTTCCTTGCTTATACAAATTCTGCTGTTTAATGTTTTGCATCCCGACTGGCACGATTGGCTACGTACGGTGCGAAAGAAGTTCAAGCATAAATGGTCTACAGAAAGCCAGTAGGCCAACGACCTAAGACATTTTTTTTTATTTACATGCGGAGACCGGGAAGCGAGCTCTGCTTGTGCGGGCTCGGCAAGCAAGTCAGATTACCCGCTTCCAGCTCTCGTGCTGGAGGGTCCACAGATCACAACGGCACTTGCTCACGGGTGCACGGACTGTGAGCAGAGAAAGAAACGACCTTAAGTGCACCCACCACCCTGACTTGCACCAATAGGCAAAAATAAATAACAAATTTCTAAACGCTCTAATTTGATCGTGCCGTTTTAATGATGGTCACTTCGTGCTGGGGAAACTTGGCCGCCCGGGTTGATTCAGATACCAGCGTTTGTCGGGAAATCGTCTCCTCATTGCATCCGTGGTCGTAGATATCAAGACTTGCTAGGCCAGTGGAACAATTGCTGCTGATGAGCACCTATTAAGGCCAGCATGGCACACGAGGGGGCGGAACTGTGGTCAGCACCACACCTGGCACCTTTTTTTCTCCAAAGTGGTGATGTTTACACACTGCATTAGGTACTCGTTCATTTCTGAATGTAACCTAGGGAAGGCCTACAGCCTATTTAGATATTCTTGGCCGTGGCTGCAAATGGGAATTCAGGTCATGGGCTGGTAGTGCAGTACGATAACCACTTGTGCCACAGTTCCCCACAAATCATATTGATATGTACATGCACGTATCACACATTTCAACACACACACATAAAGTACAGAGTAGATATCGTACATAAGAGGCATGGGCAACATGTACCCGGAACCCAACATGGCGATCTGTCATGTCAAAATAACGTGAACGATATTTTGAACTGCATATATGGAAAGAACAGAGAGCTATGAAACAGACTAAAATAAGCACACTTCGTTTACGTGGGTTGAGAAATACGGGGGTAGAAATGTACTGTATATTTTGGCTACTAGGGGTCATATTTGTATATAACACGTTTTGGCAAAGGAAGAGAAATATGAAAAGAAACCACGATTATTAAATTATTATGCCCCAAGCAGTACAGGCATTTTCGGACAGAACAATTCGACCAAAGGGTAAGACAAAAGAGCAACTGAAATAAATTACACAATTGACAGCATTCACCACCACAGCCACAAAGTGTCTGCAGAGGTGCCATACGGTAATAAAGAATTACAATCGGACAGCAGTTTGAGCTGCGTGGTCGAATGTTGGGAATTACCGCTGCAGCACCCCAAAATACCAAAACGCTCGAGCAATCTTCCATGTAAAGAGGCGCGCGGAGCAAGCCAACGCGCCCTAGATGCTGGCGACCACCTGGGACGCTCCGAAACCTCTATGCGACTTGCGTCGCCAACGCCACGGTGGGTACGTGGAGGTTTAGGAGGGATGAAACTAGTGCCATGCAATCTTCATACTACCAAGTGCATATGCGTGCGCGCGCGGGTATGTGCCCAGTATTATCGACCATGTTCAAACCACTGTCGAATTATAATAAATTTGCACTGAACGATACATGTAAGGACACATTGTTATATTCGGCAATTTTCTGCACAAATTATAGCGATAACCAGGAAAATACTGATTTAAAAAATTCCAGCACCACCTGTGCACAACATGAGGTGCCTCATAAAGGGCGGTGGCCGACTTCACGGCCGGCTTACGCCTAAGGCAACGGCCTGACTTTTTGTGGACCAACTTCCATCTGGGCTTTCCTCTCAAACCCGACGCCGTTTCCTCCGCCACCGATGCTTGTCCAGGGTTGCGCGCACATTTCGTCGCAAACGGCAAAGGCGGGGGAGACGCTGAGGATGGAGACGCTGAGGATGGCTCCGGGGAACTCGCCGGCCCTTGATGGGCCTCTACGTGACCAATCGTTTCCCCCTGCGCGTTTCCCCCCTCGTCCGCTCGAGTCCTGAGGACAAAATGGAACTCCTTTTCCGAGCCGTAGTCCCAGTCGCTCTCGCACAAGCTGCCGCTGCTGCCGCTGCCGCTGCTGCCGCTGCTGCTCGCGTCCCGACGCCGGCAGGCCTCGGCGGCGTCGGCCTGCGCCCCCTCCGGCCCCTGGCAGCGCGCCTCGTTCCTGAGGCCGCCGGAGGCATGCGACGGCACGAGGAAGCGCGGGTTGGCCCAGAGCGGTGCCGTGCTGGAGCGCACTGGCGCTGCCGCGAGCCGCGTTGCCCCGACTTCATGAGCCGGGAGAGCAAGCGTGGAGCCCTTCGCCTTGGCGGCCCTGCTCTGGCGTAGCGCGCCTGACCCAAAGAGGCTACAGCGCCTCCGTTGGGCGAGGGGCCCGGACAGAACGCGGTCCTGCGACAGGGGCCTGCGGCCCGCGGAGAGGCCGCCGCCGCTGCAGCAAGCGAGCTCGCCTTCGGGCTGCTGCAGCCGGCGCCGGGCGGAATCCGCTTGCGCCGGGAGGCCCGTCGCAGCTGCAGCACGATGTGTCGCTTGAAAAATGCCTCCATGGCTCTCGGGGGCGGCAGCAGTGAAGCGGCGGAGGTTCAAGGGGCCTCCGTCCATCTAGGATAGCGAGCGCCCAGCGTGACGGGCGCCTGCCTGGACTTTAGACTGGAGGAAGGAGAGCGCTCGTGAGGGATCGGACGGAAGTGCAGCGGAAACGCAAAATGTTTTTTGCTGATTTTTTTTTTAATTAGCCAAATGCCAGAAATGTGTTTGGAAAATTAGGTAACAGACTGATTTTTGTTTGTGCTCCTAATCGTTGGATTTGTTTGTAAATGGGGTTTGGTTTCACAATGCATGATTAAAATAAACCGTACATTTAGATTTCCTAATAGTGTACCGTGCCAAAAAGAAGCGCATCTGTTACAGCCGTGGTATTTAGTTTCAGTTATATTACTGGATTACCGTATTACACGTATCACCAGTTTGTGTTAAAACTTACTTACACTGTCCACATTTATTTATTTTGTACGCTTGTAATGTGCATAAACAGGTCCACATACATGAATAAAAACGCCCACATTTATCTGCAGACAACGCCATCTAGCCTTGCTCTAAACCCACTCCCTTTTCAATCTGCGACGATGCGATGCAATTATCCTCGCTCGTATTTACACCCGAAAAGCGCCCGCTATGCCCACGCCGCCAGATTATCAAACGTAAAATAAAATTGCCCGATGGCTGAGTGAAACAACGGGGCGACATTCATTCCCACAAAGGCCATCGTTCCGCCAAAAAATTAAAACATTTCCATTCAAATATCACTCGTCTGGATTTCTGAGCATTCACTGCCAGCTCCCAATGTGATTGGACGTGACAACCCAGAACGGCTAAATTCCGTGCAATTCACGAGGCAAATTAAATGCTAACCTGGATCCGAACACAACGGCTCAGGACCATTAATGTCAAAGAGAACCCTCATGCGCGCATATTTTATTTCACATTTAATTCGCATGCCTGAGGCGTAAACACGGCGTCGCTGGAGGACCGTATTTCGAAGGACGCTGCCAAATTTGGGCCTGGAATTTTTGCAAAAGTAATCACCCGCACAATTACCGCTCGTTGTGTAGGCGGGCGGGCGGGCGGGCTGCGGCTTTGGCGCTCCTTCCCGCTACGATATTGTCCACGGCAGTAACACGCGCGAACGTAATATAGCCAACAGCCGCCCAGATACCAAGGCAAACAAGGGTAGGCACTTAAAACGACTGCGCAATGGGGAACTGTGTTTACAAAAGACGCGAGGGCTGGCATATATCGTCGGCGCTCGGAATGAGCCGGCCGTGAGGCTCGCGGTAAACACAGCAAGGTTCGCCGAGCGCCCAAATTACCTCGGGTAACGTTTTTAAGGACCCCGGCACGTACATTATCTGAAAAACTACGTGGACCAAATGATGAAGGTTGCATTATTATAAACTAAACGCTCGACAGTGTGAGAGAGAGAGAGAGGGGAAGTTTACTTTTGTTCTATTTTCATAGTTCCTCAATTTTGTCTTAAAGTAACACTGTCCTGCAACAGGCAGGCAGCTGCAGACCACATTATTTTATTTTGACGCTTAACATTTCAAACGTTATACAAAACGTGGGAAATTCCTGCACGACTTAGAATTACTGCCGCAGCACTGGGTTATCATCATTATTATTATACGATTAGATGCAAGCGAGCGTAGTAGCATCGTCGAGTTTCCATAGGATCGGCTCCAAAAACAGCACGTGACTAAGAGATGACTGTAAATGTCAAAACAAAAAAACTCGCGCAAAAGCTGCCCGTCTGTCTTTCTAAATTAAGAGTTCATTTCAAGGAACGCATTGATCATTCGGTTCTGGAGAATCGGCGGGCACATGACAAACGCCCGCACACGGCGCACCTCACACACGCACAAACAAAAAAAGACAAGCGACGTTTCACGACTCACCTCTCCGCAAGCGTCCCACGCACATCGCGAACGTCGGTCCGAAATTAAGCGGCGACAATTCAAAAATGCCGCGCCGGGACGCGCAACTCGCCGGTTACTTTTTCCAACAAAAGCCGGGTGGGCGGCGGGAGGTTCTTTTCCACGCTCTGAGAGACGGGCAGTCGGTTTGGTCTCTGCGGCAATATTTTCGAGACCGTGGCCTGTTTCCTATTATGACCGCTCGTGTGCAGAGGCACACTTCTGAGTCGAGTCCTTCGCAGTAACGCACAAACCCAGCCGCGCTTACTCACTTAGTCCGAGCATACAGTACGTCTAAATATACGCCGTGTATGGCACGCGAGTATAATTACAGCACATTAAATATACCGCGGGACGGACGTACGTGGGGGGGGGGGAACAATTGCACTTCGTTTGCAGCGCATAAATAATGATCGCTAAAGAATTACGGTGCTTGACCGTAAATAACAAAAAACGTAAACGACAGCGGCGAGGACGACGACGACGACGCCAAAACGAGTCTCTTTATCAATCGCCGGCCGTTCGAGATCGCTGGAGGGACTCTGGCTCCCTGGCTACGGCGCAGCGGGCAGCGGCGAAGTCGGCGTCGAGTCCAGCTCTGCCCCGGGGTTCTCTCTCGCCGCCGCTACTGCCGCCGCTCAGTGACGCACGCCGCTGCCGACGCCGAGAGACGGAAATAGCCCTGGACGAGGCAACCGAAAGCGGAGAGATGGAGGGTGAAGGCGCGGCATCGCTAAGAGAGACGGCGGGATGAGCGCGCTTTCCACTCAAATCCAACCAAGCCTCCACCCCCCCCGTCACCATCACCACCCCCCCCCCCAACTCTCAACAACGGCCCCGTGAAACAACAAAAAACAACAAATGTAATCCAAAAAATCCTCTTTGCAGAGTCTGCGGTGTTTCACCGCTCTCCGCTCTGACACAAAACACTCCCAGGCAACAAAAATAAATAAAAAGTCCCACACGCTGCACGCACACACGGACGGACGATACGACACCACACGCACCCGCACAATAAAGACAAAGATCCCCCGTACAGCCTGAACAGACTCTTGGGGCGGATGCTGTCAGCGAGCACTTACGAAGGCCAGCACGGCTTACGAGGTGGCAGGTGGCAAACACCGGCCCGGCCAGCCTTTGTCTCCCGAGTGGCGACGATTTAACCATCGCACCAGGGAGTCATTTAAGGCCGAGTTGACCTCGGGTTTGCCCAGGACCGGTTAAGATATTTGTCACCTAGTTGGCCGTGGCGGGAATCGAATTTGAACCACCGTGTTTGTAGCGTAGCACGCTAACAATTGTGCCACCGCTCCCAACACAATGCATACACAAATATCTCCTGTGTAGCATACAAGAATAGTAGTGGCAGCAAGTGCTGTTAGCGAGTAGCACCTATGGAAGCTGGCGTGGTGGACAAGGGGGTGGTGTAGACAGGCCACCTTGGTTTCCCGAGTGCTGATGTTAACACCACTTTAGCAGGTACTAATTTCATGGCTGAGTTGACCAAGGGGGAGGCCCAGGGCCAGTTTGGACAATCACCGATGTATGCTGTGGCCGGGAATTTGAACTCGGTTGGCTGGGTTCCGAAGCCAAAGCGTTAACCACGAGGCCACCACTCTCCTCCACACGCGCGTGCACGCACACACACATAACCCACCCGGCTAAAATAAAAATGCGAAAGCATCGGCTCAGTGGTTGCGCCTTCTCGAGTGCCCTCGAACGTTGGACATGAAAACAGGAGGAGCGATAACGGCCGAGTCGGTGAGCGCCAAAAAAAAGACTGATGGGGCCCTAATTACCGCGCGTTGCTGGGCCAAAACCCCGCTGCAAAGACGACAATACCCCGCAAAGCCTGAACGAATGGTCGGGGCAAGCGTTGTTTGCAAGCACCTATTAAGACCGGCACGGTCTTAATAGGTGTGTGGCCAACAGCACGTCTGACCGCATTTGTCTCCCCAATGCTGGTGTTTTTTACACCGCACCGAGGACTCACTTAAGGCCGAGTACAGCTAGTGGAAGCCTGGGACCAGTTCGATTATTCGTGACTGCTTTTGGTCGCGAGCACGGCACGCGAGGGGGTGGGCGGCCAGCACCACGCCCGGCCGCCTTTGTCTCCCGAGTGGTGATGTTCACAAAGCAGGTTCTGATTTGCGGCCGAGTGACCTAGGGGAGGCACAGGACCGGTTTAGATAATTGTCACTAGAGGCCAAGTCGCTCACACACGTGCAGGTCTGTGTGGGAAAGAATGGCTGTTATTTCGGGGGGTGGGGAGTAGGTTGTACACTGCTCTGAGAAAAAAGGATAATTATGGGGTAATTATGGGGCTAGTTTGTTAACGGGTTTGTGGAGGCAAACAAAAAGAAATTGAGCCCAATCCTTGGTGACTGATCAAGGTTTACTTGCCAAAGGTTTCCATTATGTCTCCTCCCGTCTGTCTACTGCAGAGGAGGCATAAGCGGGGAGTCTGTTGTCAGACTCGATAACGTTAACTGCATTTTTGTTTCCCTTATAATTTATTCATGAAAAATATATATTTTTTTAAATATGACAACCATTTGCTGCTTCGTTGACTCAAACGAAAGTACTTTGGAAAAAAAAAGACAGACAGAATGTTTGGTGAATACAAATTGAATTCTGTTGCCAACAGGCCCTTCAAAATAATTATTTTGCTTTGGCAATTGTGCACGGCCGACTTTGGACGGATTTCATTATTTTAGTGCTCAACAGCAAACCATATAATCAGTTACTCAACTGCCAAAGGGCATTTGAGTGCAGGTTATGGGTGAGGGCTAACCAATCTTGAACCTTGGGGTGGGGGGGGCCTCAAGTTTTTTAAAGGTGCGATTATAACAACTATGATTGGGTGTCGGCATAAGCGTGCATCGAGTGAATGTCAAATGTTTCCTCACAAATTAAAGAGACTAGATGGAGTACATTATTAGTGCATCGCACGGTAGTTTAGGCCGGTAGAAATGTACGGTGAGCAGTAGCGTAGCGGATATTCGGCCGTACTGGAGAACTGCCAACTCGGGTTCGATTCCTGGCCATGGCTGACATCAGTAAAAGTTAATAATACAGTAGAACTCCTCTTAACGACTACCCCTGTTAATGACTAATCGCTTATCGACAGGCCTCCAAAGAGCCCAACGTGTAGTGTATAGTGTATAGTAGTGTATTGTAAAGTAGAGTAGAACCCCTCTGAACGACCACCCCTGTAAACGACCAATCGCTTAACGACAGGCCTCCATAGAGCCCAACGTGTATAGTAGTGTAGTGTATAGAGTAGTGTAGTATATAGTGTATAGTAGTGTAGTGTATAGTGTAGTGTATAGTAGTGTAGTGCCTCCATAAAGCCCAATGTGTTTGCATACCGACCATTCCCCTGTTCACGAGCTGTTGTAGGTACAGTAAATATTAATTAGTGCATTGATTAACCCTCATGACTGGCAGAGCATGGAGATATAGAGGTCGTCGTCCATCAGTAGATTGACAAGAGTTGCTATAAATGATGACCGTTAAAATGTACATGCACAGATCCATAGATTTGCACAGGCCTACATTTAGACCCATACATTTACACAGCCCTACGTAGACCACCCATAGATTTACACAGCTCTACATAGACACCCATGGATTAAGACAGCCTTACACAGAGACCCATAGATTTACACACCCCTACATAAAGCCCCAACGAAGTATCGCAACCTTATCGTGGTGGTGGGGTTTGTGTGTTTAAATGACCCTCAGAGCTATGTCACCTGGAGTCTTCTACTCCTGGTAGGGTCTCCCTTGGTGAACAGGTCTGGGGGGAGGTTCCAGACAAATAACGGTCCAAAACAAAATCCCCTCATGAATGGTTCAAAAATACCAAAATCAGAGAACCTCTTCCGGACAAGGGACACCGGGACACACCCCTGGAGCCAGGCCATGGGGTGTTGTTCGCCGGCAAGTACCCGGTGGCCGGGTGACCCCTCCCAGTAACCCGGTCGGGCCCAGTCCAAAATGGCTACGTGGCGCCGTCCTGTGGGCCCACCATCCGCAGGACGAAGGGTGACGGGCGGGTGTGCGATGCCAGTATGGCAGGGAGAGGGATGGTCTCAGACAGACTGACCTTTGCGATAGACACCCGCTATTGGGACGTGGAATGTCACATCGGGGGGGAGGGGGGGGTAGAAGGTATCGTCGGTGTCACCTCCACACACAGCATTGGCACTGGAACCAAACTTCTCCATCGCGGGTGGTCTCTCTCCTATTCCGCAGTAACCCCCTGGTAAGAGGCCCCGGGCGGGTATGGGGATACTCACAAGCCCCCGGGTGGGTGCTGTTCAGTTGGAGTTTGTCCCAGTGGATGAGAGGGTCGCGTCAATGAGACTTCGGGTCTCAGCAGGGCAAACTCTGCCAGTTGTCTGCAATTGTGCACCAAACAGCAGTTCAGAGTGTTCGGCCTTCTTTGAGACGTTGAGTGCAGTGCTCGACAAAGTGCCGCCTACCGACTCCGCCGTCTTACTGGGTGACTTCAGTGCTCAAGTGGGAAGCGATGGAGATACCTGCAGAGGCGTGATTGGGAGGAAAAATGTTATTGGAATTCTGTGCTAGTCATGGAATGTCAATAACAAACACCATGTTCGAAAACAAGGATGCTCTTAAGTGCAATTGGCACCAGAGCACCGTGGGCTGAAGGTCAATTATTTTATAGTTGTATCATCAGACCAAAGGCCATATGTTCTGGACACTTGGGTGAAGAGAAGGGCAGAGCTGTCAATTGATCACTACTTGGTGGAAAGTTGGATCCGACGCTTGGGGCACCAGACCAGATAGACGTGAAAGGCCCAAATGAATAATGTGGGTTTTCTGGGAACATCTGGCGGAAGACCCAGTGGAGAAAGATTTCAAATTCCACCTCCGGGAAAACTTCTGATGCACTCCCAGGGAGGTCGTGGACATTGAGTCCGAGTGAATGATGTTCAGGACCTCGATTGCGGATGCAGCTGTGAAAAGCTATGGCTTAAAGGCAGTTGGTGCCTGTGATGGCGGCAACCCTAGGACCCGCTGGTGGACACCAGTGGTGAGGGAAGTTGAAGAAGGAGCCTTTCCCCCAAGCTATGCTCGGAGAGGTACCGGCTCCCCAAGAGGGCGGCAGCTGCAGCAATCGCTGAAGCGAAAGCCCGGGGCATGGGAAGAGTTTGGAGAGGCATGGAGAGGGAATACCGGGCTGCCTCAAAGATGTTCTGGCAAACCATACGACGGCTTAGGAGGAGTCGACAGGACGTAGTCTAGGCTGTTCTCAGTAAGGGTGGAGTAACATTGAACTCAACTAAGGAGGTAGTCGAGAGGTGGAAGAACACTTTTAGGAGCTCCTCAACCCGGTGGACATGCGCTCCTCTCAGGAGGCAGCCCTGGAAACAGCTGGGGGGGTGGTCGGATCCATCACGGCTGCTGAAGTTACTGCGGCAGTCGAGAGACTTTGTAGCGGCAAAGCTGCTGGGGTGGACGAAATTTGCCCAGAGTTGTTGAAAGCGCTGGACAGTGTGGGAGTGTCGTGGTGAAAGCGCCTCTTCAATGTTGCATGGAAGGCGGGTACAGTACCTCTGGATTGGCAAACTGGGGTCGTGGTTCCCATTTTTAAAAAAGGAGACCAGAGAGTGTGCTCCGACTACAGAGGGGCCACGCTCCTCAGCGTCCCAGGTAAAGCCAATGCCAGAGCGCTGGAAAGGAGGCTCCGCCCGGTGGTCGAGCCTCAGATTCAATAGGAACAATGTGGATTCCGTCACGGTCGTGGAACAATGGATTT